GAGAGAGAGAGAGAGAGAGAGAGAGAGAGAGAGAGAGAGAGAGAGAGAGAGAGACCTTACGTGGTGAAAATGAAATGGAAGAGAGCATGTCGAGGACCCATGTATGTGGATCTGTGGCCATGGGAGTGCGTGCGATACGAGGTGCAGGGAGGGATGGAAGGAAAGAGGGAGGCCGTGGACGCCGCGTTGATATTGACGAATGCGATGGCGTGGGCAGGGAGGGAGGAAAGTTGAGTTGAGAGAGAGAGAGAGAGAGAGAGAGAGAGAGAGAGAGAGAGAGAGAGAGAGAGAGAGGGGGGGGGGTTCTCCCAACAAATCTCCCCTGTTGGTTTGCAGTTTTTCCTTTCTTTTTTTCCCTCCTGTCCGTATCGTGAACTGTCTTTCGGGGGCAGAGAGAGCGAGAAGAGAGGTGGGTGATGGAGTGAATATGCTGCCAGGATAAATGGGCTGAGGAGCATGTTCAGGAAGGGAAGGCGGCATATGGGAACAAGTGTGCTCAGAGGTGAAGTTTTAATGCATCGTTCTTTCTTAGCGCTGCTCTGCTTTTTTTTCACTGTACTCGGAGCAGGGGGAGGAGATGGGGGAGGAAAGGAGCAGGGAGAGAGGAGAGGAAGAGGGAGTATGACGACTTTGTCTCCTCCCCGGTCGCTCTCCTTTCTCTGCTGATACCACATGCGAAGATCCTGTTTTCCTTGTCCGAAGACATTCGTGCGGAGAATCGCCGCCGGCCTCTTTATATTGGAGATATACCTCTCTCCCCCCAAAAATAAGGGCCCCAAAATGAAATCCGACCGTAATTCTAATTCACACCCAACGGATTTTGGACAAGCCCTCCCCCAAGCATACGACACGTCACCTCTGTGGCAAGGTCCCTTTTTGATTCTTCCGTTTGTTTCTGGCCGTTCATTGCCAAGATCAAGGGTCAGGGAAAGCAAATCGACCGGGACCTGGCCACTGGCCAAGCTCTTATTTATATGCACCTACTTATGCCTTCTGTTCTTCTGTTTTTTTTTTTTTTTTCTTTTTCCTGTTTTGTTGTGCGCGCCAACCCGCAACAGGTCATCATCATCTAGTAACAAGGAGGGGATGCTCTCTAAAGCGATTGCCAATCTGAAGTCGGCTTATTAAAGCTCTGTTTTCGTTGGACAACAACGCCCGAAGATGGATCGCGCCGCTGCTTCCAACGAGGAAGGGATGGTGGCCAAAGCGATTGAGGAGGAGATGATGTGGGAGTTCCTCCCCAAAAGGCTGAAGCTGTATCTGAGCTCTAGCGAGGAGTGGAGCAAGAGGTAGGGGGGCAAGTTCCTTGCCTGGCCCTGTTGCATGCTGGCTTGGGATGCTCTTGACTCCCGTAAAGATTCTCTCCTGTCTTCCGCCCGCCGATTTTCTTTGTTGCCCCCTATCCTCCTGCTTCATGTGTTGTCCCATATTCGTCCGTCTTCCATTTCTGTCCCCAATCCTAACGCTATTCTCATTGACCAATTGCAATCCTGTTGCCATCCTATTTTCTATTCTTAACCCCCGCTCCATGTTCTGTTGTTGTATATTCATCCCTGTCCCATTTCCCCGTCGCATTCCTACCATCCCCTGTCCCATCCTGAATCCCTTTCTTCATCTATCGATCGTCCATCTCCATTCTTAACCCTATTCTCATTAGGCAATGCCAATCCTATGGCTATTCCAATTGCTTGAGTCCTGTCCAACCTCTTGCATTGCCTCCCCCAACAAATCTCATTGCATTCCCATTCTCTGCTCCATTGTCATTTTGCTTTGATTAGTGGTAGTCCGTTTTTGCCTGTTGCCTCAGCGGTTCAGCTCCCATTTTGGATTCCACAATCATCTTTTTCTCCGTCCTGAAGTCCGAATGAGCTCATCGTTTTCCCACGTCGAGGTCCCGCGCAGCCTTCATTGCGAATATCGCACTCTTCCAACAGAACCTTCCACGATCTTCCCACACTGTTGTCCCACACAATCTTCCTGCACGAAATCCGCACAATTTTCCGCAAGATCTTCCTTGATGAACTCGCTCAGCCGATTGCAATGCTATGTATCGTCCGGCAATCTTCCACGATCTTCCCACACAGTTGTCCCACACAGTTGTCCCACACAGTTGTCCCACTATCTTCCCGCACGAAATCTGCACAATTTTTCACAAGATCTTCCTTGATGAACTCGCTCAGCCGATTGCAATGCTATGTATCGTCCGGCAGCGTTAAGACATACAGCGGTGTCCCCATGGGGAGGTGCATGCCTGCCTGCCTGCCTGCAGGTCATGCCAAGGCTCCGTTCCGAAGAGGCTCGTAACCTCTTGATGGAGCCAGAGCGCGCTAATAGACAGAGCCATCAACACACACGCTCACGCTCACGAGAGAGAGAGAGAGAGAGAGAGAGAGAGAGAGAGAGAGAGAGAGAGAGAGAGAGAGAGAGAGAGAGAGAGA